ATGGTGCCAGTGCCATACCATGCCCTTGCTGCTCCCAGCCTGTGCTCCTGGTGCTCAGCTATTTATGCTCCTTAATTTATACTCCTCCTTCCTCCTGGTGTGTTTGTATGAGCTGGTTTTGGAGCTGTTGTGCACCACACACAGAGGACTGGGGAGATACTCGCAGGCTTCTGTTCAGAGCTCAGTCCTCATGGCTCAGCAGACATCTGGCTCTTGCTGTGCCAATAAATGTGCCTTGTGGCTGACTGTGCCTTGGCATCCTTGTGACTCAGCCTAAAATATCAGCCATGGGTCCTTTTGCTGCTGGGAGAGAGCTGGTGCCGAGCAGGTGATGCTCGTGGCACAGGGATGAGTGTTCCCAACCTGCCTCTGGCCACACAGTGATGCTGTGCTGCTCCAGAGCTGCTCCCTGTGGGGTGGATTAAAAAACCTGACTGGAACCAGCTCACTTCCCTTGGCTCTCCAGAAGAGCCCTTCAGGGGGGCTGGAGCATGCCAGGTCTGTGTGCTGTGTGCTCTGTGTGTCGAGGACTCGTGTGTCCCCCAGCATGGCACCTGGCTCAAGCTGGCTTTGGGAATGCAGGGCACAAGGGTTGGCATCCCTGCTGCTGTGCTTTATCCCCCAGACTTACTCATTTTAAAGCTGGAGCTGCAAAAAATTGCTCATTCCCCTCTTTTAGAAATGCTTTATTTATCCTGCTTTCTTATTAAGGGCAGGAATTCATCCCCTGCCTGACAGTCTCTCTGTGGAGTGTCAGTGTTATTTGTGGTATCCCACACAACAAACACCTATTTATAGCTGAGCATTCTTGGAAGGGGTTTTGGTACCTTGTTGTCTGCAGGGAATTTTCTCTCTTGCAGGGAACTGCACTCCAGCCTGCACGGGGAGAGGTTTGGATGGAGGCAGAGCACGTGGCAGGTCCATTCCCACATGCATGGCTGGCGTCCTCAGCAGCTCTCTCCTGAGAATAATTTTCCTAGGAGTTATGGCTGCAGATGTGTTATTTTGCTTTCTTGACCTGCCATTTTTTTCCTCTGGAAAAACTCCATTTCATTGATCTGACCATTTGGAGCTCATTGCAGGGCTGCTAATGACCAGGTGTAACAGCAGTATTTTAACCTCTGCATTTTCTCCTTGTGCTCAGTGTCAGCATTATAAAGTACCACTTAAAATGTAAGCACAGGTAGTCAATTACTTTAATCTTTATTACATCTGAATGTACAGCAGCTACTCCTGAGGAGAAAAACTGCATCTGATACTCAGCAGAGTGGGTTTAGCTGGGAAACATGGGCACTTTGGGAAATGCCAAAATCCCAGCATTTTGGGAAACTCCATCCCAGCACTTTGGGAAATGCCAAAATCCCAGCATTTTGGGAAACTCCATCCCAGCACTGCACACACCAGCAGAGCCCAGACTTCCCCAGGGCTCGTTTCTCAGGGCATCCACAGCACAAACAGTACCACCAGCACATGACTTCTGATTTTGGAAGGAAGCTGCATTCCTCTTGCCACCTAATTCCCCTATAAACTGCTATTTGCATGATTTATACCTGATGGCAGACAAGGTCCAGGATCTGTGCCCACAGCACCCTCTCATTGATGAGGCATGGGTATGGGCAAAGCTGTGGGCCCACACTGTGCCCCCAAAACTTGTCTGGGGCTGGGCACTTCCCCACCATCACTTCATGGTGGATCTTCAGCATATTTGGCTGTCTCAGGAGAAGGAAGAGCTGCCTGCAACCAATACCAGTCCCAGTTCATCTCCAAGCTAAGCTGCATTGGAAAATGTACCTGTTTAAACCCTCCATGAAAAAATGCCTAGTTAGACCCTCCACAAGTCTAGTTTTTACTTGTGCATTAAACAAACAGGGAATGAGTTTATCAAATAGAGCTTGGGATGGGCAAGAGGGCAGAGGCAGTGCTTGTGAAACCCTCTGATCAGCCAGGGTCGATACTGGCTGCAGAGGGATTTTTCCCTTGTTTTGTGGGTTAGTCATACGTTTATTTTTTTAGAGATGTTTTTTCTTATTCATCTGTTGCAATCACAGCAGACACATCATTTCACAGCCCTACATGGGAATCCAAGACCAAGGAACTATTTTTAGTGCACAAAATGTCTCCCCTAAATGTATTAACTTTGGAAGAGTAAATATTAAATATGGTCTCATCACATTAGAGGCATTTATGCAGAAGTACAGCACCAGCAGTTTTAATGTTTAGGGGAAATTATGTTATACCACCAGCACTTAATCAAACACAATAAAACAAGGTCTTACTACAATTCTTTCAGGATAAACTGAAGGAAAATTAATTCCTTTCCACATCCGTTGCTGATGATTTACTGACACTGGGGGGTATTTGACCCATTACTATTTATAGTGGCACTTGCAATCTGTATGCAAAACATATAAGGACTAGCCTAACATTTACTTTGTAATTAAATTGAAATGATTCTTTGGTTACTCGCTCCAAACCGAGGCATTCAACACCATCTGTGATGAGGATACTATAGGCAAGCCCTGAGTGAGTAACATAGCCCTGTGATAGAGCCCTATGTGCTCTAAGTGCCTACAAATACATGGTTAATGATAGCTTTTTGTAACTTTATTGAGGAATCATTTCTCAGGTTGGGCTGTAGGATGGTGTGGTATTGTAAATGCAGGTGAACCCAGTGGGAAGAAATGATGATGTCTGACTCCAGTTCAGAAGGTGGAATGATTTATGTACTATAACTATACTAAAATACATTAATATACTATTTAAAGGAGATACTAAAACTACAAACCTACTTTTTCTAACTACCATGTCTAACCAAATAACAACTCATGATCTTCTTGCCAGAGTCCAGCCACAGGTGGATTGGATTTTTCATCAGGCTCAAACAATCTCACCAGAATCCAATCAAGCAATCACCCCAAGTGAACAAATTTCCAAACACATTCCATATAGAAAAAACAAGGAGCAGAAAGAAAAATAGTTTTCTCTTTTTTTCCTCTGTACTCCTCTATGAAAAGTCATGAAAGAAAGAAGAATGTACCTGTGACAGCATGGTGCTGCTGGTGGAGCCCCAGCACCCCAGGTCTGCCTGTCCCTACCCTGTCAGCAGTGCCCTTGGTGGCTGGTGGCTCTCCTCTGGTGATGGGGATGGGCAGTGGGGTTGCTGCCTGGGTTTGCTATTTAGGGTTGGGGTCCTGACCTTGTGGAACTCCCTCCTGCACCTCATTCCTTCAAAAGCCAGCCTGGGGTTTAGAAGGTGTCTGACTAAACAGAAAGATGTCAGACTTGAGCTGCTGGGCTGTTCCTGGTGAGTTGGTTTTGTTGTCAGCTTGGTTATTTTATCTCCTGTGAAATGGGGTCTCTGGGAGAGGAGGCAACATACAGAGGTGATGTAGTCTTTTCAGCAGCCCAAAATTCTCTTCCTTTGCTTACAGGCATTTCTGTCCCATCCCCCATGCCCATTTCCATGATACATCCAGCTAGACCATCCCAGCCATCTCTGGTCTAATGCAGGTGCCAGCAGGCAGGGATGCATCTTCCCAGGAATTTGGCTAGCTCTCTCTTCCATGAGCCTTAAATATTGGAGACAAAATCCTTGCCAGTTTGTAAAGATGATGCCTCATGTTCCCAGCATCAGAACCCTGAGATCCATCTGGGCTTGCCATCACCCCCTTGGACATTTTGGGGCTGGGAAAGGGGTTGCTGTTTCAAGTTAAACAATAGCAGTCAGGCTGGCCTTGCTCCCTGCTGTATGGAATTGAACTCCTGAATATCTCCCTGCCTAGAATGGGTGAAAAACTTGCTACAGAAAGCAACTCTTGAACGGGCTTTTTGCAGGTTCAAGCACTGCTGTGGGCATCACACCTGCACCGAGGGGCTTTGGTGACTAGACTGGAGTTTGGGTTCATCACTCTGATGCCTGGAAAGCTGTGAGCAAGAACACAGCCCAGTAACAAAATCCTTAGCTTGCAATAAACCAGTCCTTTCCCTTTTCATTGAAGAGCTAAATGTGAGGCCATGGTAGCTGCTCCACCCCCCAGAAGACCCATCTCAGATGAATGGTTTTGCACTGTCTTCACTCTGCACCATGACCTGCCACTTCACCAACAAACTGAACAAAGTATGTCTACTAAGCAGCTAATTTTCCTTCAGCAGCTTGAGCACTTGGGCAATTTCACAGAAGAAACATGTGCCAATAAAGGCCAAAAAAGGTGGAAGAGAAGAGCCATTCCTTAATGACTCCAGTATTTATGGAAGCAAGGCAGCAGCCTTGCCTGTGGCCTCCAAACCAGCCAAGCATGCACAAAATGTGGATCCCATTCAAGTTTTTAAAGCTGTGTGATGAGCCCTGGGCTCCCACCACACAGGTGGAGGGAGGGTCAGGCTGGCAACCACAGCCCATATCAGCAGTCACAGAATGGTTTGGGCTGGAAGGGACCTTAGAGACCATTTAGTTCCCTTCCATGCCACTCACTAGGTGGCTGCTGGTTGGTATCAGCAGGGTACAAGGAGAGTCTTACAAACAGGAACACATCACTGGAGTATTTTGGATTTCTCAGCTTGCTTTTGCTCCCATGAGTAGCAGATCTAGCAGTTTGTTTCCCTGCCTGTTAAACCAGCTCCTGGTGCAAGAAGCTGCTCCTCTGAGCATCCTGTCTTGCAGCAGGACTTCCTCTGTGGGCTTTGCTCCAAGTCTGCAAAACAAGACTTAAATCTCCATCAGAAAGGTGGCTACCTTGAATTACAGAAACTTTTAGGCATGAGGAAAATTGTGAACATCCCCTTGCTTGGGCTTGCCCTTCCAGCTGTTACACATGTCTCCAGCTGTGTTTCCCAAGAGCTGGCTAAGATTTGGCAATGGAAATGCAATGAAAGTTCAAAAATGTGCTGCTCACAGGCAGAGTGGCTGCATCATCTGGACTGGACCAGCCCTGCATCCCCACAGAGCTGCATCCCTGGGATGAGTTTGCTCTGTGTGACCATGCTACTAGACTGACACGAGGTACACAGAAAACACTGCTTTATTGACTGCATTAGCCAACACATTGAGGAATGCAAAGGGGTTTCTTTTCATAAGCAATGGGCCATGGTCCCAATGTGTATTAAAGCATACACTGTATCTAAACAGGATGAAAATAATGGCAGACAGAGCTATTCCAAGGCAACACAAATAGCATGCATAATACAGTCTCACACAGAACAAGTTTGATAACATTATATTGCTTTAAGGATTAACTAACATGGAAAATGTACAAAAAGGAGAAATAGGTTTTTGCATTAATGAAAAATACATTTTTTCTCTACAAAGGAATTTCTAATACAAGAAAATAAATATTGCAACATAAGCCAAAAATAATTTAAAATTGCTCTTTTCAATATATTTTCAATATTTCTCTTTTGTATTAACAAATGGCACATCACGTTCTTTGAAACAAAGAAAACAGAAGGGTTTCTCCTCCTGTGACATTCATATCGTTTCCTGTAACTGATGTGAAGTGGGTTGTTTTGAATGTGGAATGGTGCAAACTGCAGGGGATTTCCTTAAAGAGCAACCAAACCTCATGCCTTGCCCTGTAGCAGCATCTTCCTGCAGCCTGCATCCATCCTGGCTCCATTCTGCATCCAACCTTGGGGCGAGCTCCATGGGACAGCAGGCATCCTAACCCCATAAAATAGGTGCAAGTAAAAAGAGAAAAAAAAAAAAAAGAAAAAAGAAAAAAAAAATCAAAAGATGGGTGTGGGGAAAATGGGAGTGTGGAATGGGAGCTGTCCTGGGGAAACTCCCTCAACCATCAGGGTTGGGGCTGGTGTGGGGCTGTGCTCCATCAGGGAATGATGCTTTCTGCATCCTCATCTCAACAGCGGCTGCTTCTCCAAGGAAACAGATACTCTTACAGTGCAAATGTCAATTCCTGCAGTTTATACATCTCAAAAGATAACACTTCTGTACTAAAATAAACCTTTTTTTCTTCTCTTTCTATTCATTTCAAAATACATTTACATTAACATCAAAAATATCTTCCTTGTGCATTTTCTCTCCAGAACACCAGACTCCCCTGCTCCGAGGATGCTCCAGGCAGGGGATGCTCTGGGGTGGCTGCAGCCATCCTGCCATGGTCCAGCCCTTGCTCAGCCCCAAAGCTCACCAGAGCCCTTTTCCTCCACTCTGTTCCTGCCATCCCATTCTTCTCCCTGTGCCCCACCAGCTTGCTTAGCTTTTCCCCCATCTCCTGATGGCAAAACATGATGCCTGATGTTTTGGGAGTGTTTCAAACTGTGCTATTGCCCAATGTTGGAGGTGCCAGGTTGGTTGTTCTTTAAAGTTTCCCCATTTTTGCTTTCCTGTACTGAGAAGACAAGTAGTGCAGAAGCTGATGAATGGAACTGTGTACAGTGAAATTTGTGGATTGCTTTTTTTTTAACCATAATTGAGTGAAGCACACGGAAGCAAGATTCATTAAAAGGCAGCATATTGATTATTGTTATGACTCGTATACTAGGATACTGGAGCTAAAGCTAGCAAGCCTGATAAGATAAACTAAGTCCTATTTACTGTATTTAACATTATCTGAACATACTGAGCCTTAATTAATGAGCAGATTTTCATTTCCAACCTCAATGGATTATGCTAATTTATAACAAAGGTAGTTCCTGTTTTGTTGGTATTTTGCTGTTTTTTTGTTTTCTTTTTTTTTTTTAACACTAATAACTTGCGTCACATTTTTCCATTCTGAGGAAGATTCCTTCCCAGGCACGGTCAGTCTCAGCCAGGTGAGTGTTGGGCTTAGGCAGGGCTGGGCATCCCACCCGAAGCCCCCACCGATCGCCGTGTCTGGGATCAGCTGGGCTGTCATCGCTGATCTTTGCTGCAATTTTATCAATAATAAGGACTTTGGAAGGCTGATAAAGATGATGATCTACTCTAAAACATCAATCGAAATAGTCTCAGAGTTTCAAAAAGAAAGCTCACAGTGAAATGAGCAAAAAGCATCGGAAACCAAAATGGCAGGATGCGGTCTCGGAGCAGCAGCATCCCTCGGAGCAAGCTTGGAACCTAACGCCGCAGCAGTGTGGTATGAGTGTGTCTTTAGTCCTTGGTTGCTAAATAACTTCCAATTTTTTTTCATAATGACAAGTTTCCGGTTTCTGGCTGTGCTGCTTGACTGTCAAAATATTTCTTTGGCATCCACAAAATTCTTTGACTGATTGGTTTGACAATTGCAAGGTTGTTTTGTTTAGTGATGGGTTTAACCGGTTGCAGAAGTGTCCCAGGTTTGGGTTGGTTTTGTGGTTTTTTTTTTTTGTTTTTTTTTTAGCTTTTTTTAAAACATTTTTAATTTTTAAAAAACAACAACAACAAAAGTTTCAGTGAATTCCTTTTTTTTTTTTTTTGTTCCCTGAGCTCACACTGGGGTCACTCCAATAAAACACGTAGCATGACTTAACTGTGACCTTTGAAGCCAAAACCGAAGTAATGGTGCAATTAAGTGCAAACATGGAAATTCGCCTGACTTATAGGTAACATGGGCTTTTAAACAACATTTAAGGCTTATTGGGGACATTTTATGCATTAAATTATTGTAATATTTATAATGTCAGCTTCTGTGAATCACCCCTCCACAACGAGTCAACAGCTTGTAACCAGGATTTAAGGTAAAAAAAACCCAAACAAACCAAAACAAAGGATGGAGAGGAATAAATTCACCATTTCCATTGTAGCATTTAGAAGGAGAACATAATGGTTGTGGCAAGGGTTGCCATTTCCCCTCAGTGACAGCACATTTGGCCTTGGGGCCATGGTTTTGGTTTGCAAGGGGGATTTCAAATGTGCTGCCCTGGCATGGTGAGACCACGGCAGCACTGGAGGGAAACATGGGCAAAAAAATTGCTCAACCTCCTGGGTTACAACAACCCTGACTCCCCACGGTGGTTTTAAAGGACACTTTCCTCCTCCATCCAGCCCCACATTTCCACTTTCCACTTGCTGATCCATTCACCTGAGTAATCACTTCAGTGTTTTTAAGAACCTCAGTGGGGGCAAGGACAGGGAGGACTTTTGCATCCTGGCCCCTGGACGGATCCCAACCAGATGGAAAGGTGAGGGGGAAAATAATGACTAAGAGGTTTTTTCCCTAAAAATAGAAATGTAACATTGCTCTCTTCCACCCCAAGCGTTTTCCTCCAACAAGCTTTTTGTGCTTTAGTCATTATTTATTTTAGAATCGCTTATTTTGCCTCCTTCTCTCCACACACACAGGTGGGAATTTCCCCTCCCACAGCTGGCCACTGCCGGACCCTCTACTCGCTCCCTGCTCTGAGGGCAACCGTCCCAGGCAGAAATCTGCCCCTCGTTAAATAATGCCCATTAATTGAACTGTCATCCCTGCAGAAAGCACGGGTACCGGCACCCTCCACCCTCTCAGCGCCCTCGACGTCGGTCCTGGCAGGTGCTGCCTCACGTTCCCAGCAAGTGGGGTCTGGCAGGGAGCCGGGGAGGGACCACTGCTGTCATAGTCGTCGATGTCGGTGAAGCTGAAGCTGTATCTCAGGCGTATCGAGAAGAGAAAGACAACAGTGCCGAATTTCCAACTATATACACATATTAAAAACCCCCCTCGCCGTGATACCAGGCAGAAATTGGACATGGCAGTTGGAACTGGGTTGAGGCCTCATGGAGCCGGCGCGGTCGGAGGAGTTAGGACGCCAGGATGCTCATCCTGACGATGTCCTCGCCGGCCGCGTCCAGCTGGCCCCGCTGCGCCCGGCTGCCGCGGGACTCCCCGTCCGAGTCGCTCATCTCGGCGTCGGAGAAGTATCCGTCCGTGTCGGCGTCGAAGCGACGCAAGGGAGCTCCGCCAGCGCCATCAGCCTTGGGGGGCTGCGAGCGCCGCGTGCCCCGGCTCTCCTTTGGTAATTTGAACCGCACGATGGTTTTGGGGCTACCTATGGAGTCAGGCACTTTGGCCGCGGGGCTGGGCTCCGTCTGAGCGCAGCGCGGCATCTCCTCCTCCTCCTCCTCCTCATTGACGCAGCCCCGTGTCCCAGCAGGGGGATGAGGCTCACTGGCCTTCTGGAGAGAGCCCTTCCTGGACACCTTTTTGGCCTCGCCCGTCCCTCTGCGGTCGGTGGGAAGCTTTGCTGCCCCTTTTTCCGACTTGCTCGGTCTGGAATCCAGCGGGAAGGGCTTGGCGGGGTCATCCGACACGCTGCTGGCATTGTTAGTCCAGGGCTCCGAGCCCTCCAGGTGGCCCCCACCCACTGCAGAGGGGCTGCTCCTTGGCAGCTTTTTCTTAGTGTTCGTTCTCGTTCTGCTTTTCACTTTCTTTGTGGTCTCACTCTGCCTGAATGGGGACCTGAGGGAATGGTCCATCATGAAGCTCAGCAAGGTCTCCTCATCCTGGAGGAGCTCCTCGGAGAGGCCAGGGGTACTGTCCTCATGGTGGGCATTGTTGAGTGACCACTCGCTCATGGCCATGTTCTCTGCAGTGATCTGCACCGACTGTGCCAACCAGCTGTTGAAGAAGGTCCCATCAATAGGGAAGGACGTTGACAACCCTGCAAAAAACAAGAGTGGAAGACTGCCTCAGAAGCTAAGAACAGCTATGCTGCCCTCTGTCACCATCACCCACCCCACCAGAACTCCCTGGCACTGGAGAAACCCTTGAAAGATCAACTATAACACACCACACCAGACACAGAGCAGGATTTACTCCAGCACTTGTGCTGAACTTGGGGTTCACTGAGGTCACAGCACAGCAACCTGAGCAGTCCTTCACATCCAACTCTCCATAAACCTCCCTGAACCCAAACCAAGCTTCTTTCTTCAGTGAAGATGAGAAGGAGTGACGCATCCCAGCTAAGGTGGAAACATTCTCATGCAAAGGCAGAACACAAATAATTCAAGTATAAGTTAAAAAATATGGTGACAGAGCAAGACTTGTGCCCAGACAGGGGATGACAGGTTCTCCAGGAAGCAGCTGCTGCAAGCTCACCACCAGAGCCAGGCAGCCAGAGTGGTGATGGGACCACTCCACTGCTACTTCTGCAGGTCTGAGAACATCTCAGAAGGCATGGGAACTGAAGAAGAGGAGCAGAGATGAAGGCTGGAATGGGAAAAGCTGAAAAACTTCCTTATAATGATCACTGGGAGCAAGAGTGAGCACTGTGGGCTGGGCTAATTGGGTCCAATTAGCAATGGAAAGGTGCACACCTACACAGGCACAGGCAGTTTCAATCTCTGAAACAGAAACCCACGGGTTCAACATTTGAGTTGGTTTTATGGATGGAGGAAAAATGAGGTTTAATTGTGGATTTCAGGAAGGGCTTTCCTTTGAAACAGCCAGTCTAGCAACAGAGAGGGAAAGAGCAGTGGCCCAGGCAGGGTGACTCATGCCCACTATGTTTGCTGGTAGCAGTGTTAGCTTTACATCACTCTCACCTGTGAGCAGCAACGCAGGCTGTGACCCTGCACCTCCTGCAACTCACCACAGCCTTTTTGGAGAAGACAGCATCCCACCCTGACACCAGCCCAAGGCAGAGAAGGTGACACAAGAGCAAGGATGAACTTTGGGCACTGTGTGGTACCCAAATACCAAAAAGCCCAAGTTCTGTGGGCAAGGGCACTGCCCAGCTCAGCTTCCCCAGCCCTGCTCTGACGACAGCAGCCCAAGGGATGCTTCAAACCCTTCACAAAATGCAGAAAGTAACAAGATCTTGGTGAAGCTTTGGGTCAAGTTGCCTGGTTTCCCAATCTCATAGCCATGCAGCTTTCCTCTGAGATTCTCCAGCCTCCACTGTTTGCTGGAATTTGCCCCAGTAAATCCAAAACTTCTTTAGCCAAGAACAGAGCAGAGACAGAATGACTGCAAAAGCCCCATTTCCAAAGGTCCAACAGCTCTGAGATGACCAGAAAGCAGCATAGTCAGGTGAGCAATGTGCAAAGCAGAGCAAGGCAGGGTGGTCCAGACCACCAAACCTCCCACAGAAATGCTCTGTACCCCCTGGGGGGTTTTACAGCATCTCCAGACTGCCTGAGAGCCTCACAGGACCAGTGCTCCCCTGTGCCCTGGCAGCTAGGCACACATGGAACTCATCACCTTCTACCTCTGCTGGTGGAGGTGGCAGCACCAGAGGAAGTCAAGCAACAACCCAATTCTATGTAAAAACCATATGCAGTTGTCAAGGACCTTGCCCAAAGCAACCTTTTTCTTCTATTTCTTTTTCTTCCCCCAGCCCTGCCTGCTGCTGTAGGCGATGGGGACCTGCTGGAGGTGGCTGAAGCATCTGCAGGGCCAGGCTCCTCACCCCCTGAGCAAATTCAAGAGTTGGATGTGCTTTGTGCCTGACTCATGGACGTTCCTGCAGCACTGGCACAGCCAGCATGGCCATATATGCCTTGGATGGTACATGAAACCTCACAGCCCACGCACTGTACTCACCATCACTGCACAGCACAGGGGGCACAGGGGAGCAGCCCTGTCATGGGGTGGGTAAGTCTGATTTTATCACCTGAAAGTGAAATCCCGCTCCAGCAGCACACCACAGGTTTTGTAACACATTCTCCCAATCCTGGAGCTACAGAGGGGAATTTTAAATCCCCTGCCCTGCCAGTGAGCACGTTTCTGACCCAGTCTCTCTGGTAGGACCTGGATAATTCAGGCTGATTCCCACAAAGGAGAGATGGAAAGTGCAACTCCACCGTGTTACGTGCAGGAGGGATCAGGGGCTGGGACTCTTAACCCTGCTCCCCAAAACAGGGAGCCTCCAGCACCGCGGGTCAACTCTGCGCCATAAAATCAGACTTACCCAGCTGTCCCAAAACAGTTTCGTTGACCGATTTCCTTTTCTCTGTCTTCTCAGGACTATTTTTTCTACCATCTCTTCCTTTCCTTCTTGGGTCACTTTTCTTACCCTTTGTCTTCTTCCCAGTTTGTTCTGGCATTTTTTAAGAAAAAAGGAAAACGCCGTGTGAGACGAGGCATCAGGGATGCTGCGGTGAGCAAGTTCCCCTGGGGCACACCCCTGCAGTGGAGACCAGGAGCAGACCTGCAAACAGCTCCAAGCCAAAGGGAGAACAAGGGCCACTCTTGGCCAGCTGCAGGCTAAGGTCTCTGCATGTTAAGAAAATCTTAATCCTGTAGGTTATTAAAAAAAAAGAGATTTTAGCCTTGGAGAGGACAGGAGCAGCCCCATTGAAGGCAGGTGGCTTGCTGGAGATTCTACAGCCACAGACCTGGACTTTGGGGTGAGGACCCACTAGGGAGTAAGCCCAGATCCTGCTCAGACACCTTGCAGGAGCCACAGTGACCCATAAACCTCGAGCTGTGTCACCCATCACAAACAAGAACATCTCCAGAAGGGATTCAGCTGCACAGCAGACTGGCAGACTGGCAGACTGGCAGAGCAATGTACCAGCAGTTTTAAAGCCAAACTTGCTTTGACGTTTTGACAAAACTGTGCAGGAGTGAAAAAAAACCCAAAGTGATACAGGTACATGAGGTAGGAAAGATGACCAGGAGTGCCAATGGAAATGTAGGGATCTATCTCTTAGCTATAAAGACATTCAGCTAAATATTTACATTTCCTAAATGGCTTTGAACTTCTACTAGATTTATTCCTCTTGGGTAAACAGGACAAATACCCTATAAAAGTACAAGTTGTATTGCCAAGTAAAATACTTTCAGCAGTTTTTACTTACTCTGTTAGGTTATTCTTCCCCAGAAATCCATGCTAAAACTTCTATTAATTTTCAGAGAGGGAAGGATATTGCCCTTAAACCAAAATGTGGGTGGCTCAAGGAAATGGAGGCAAGACAGGCACCTTTTCAGAGTCTGGCCCATAGGCTAAACAATGATCTTAAGGAAGAACTCAGTTTATTGTGTCAGCCAGCAGCAAATCCTCAGCAGAGAGGCCATGGGGTGGATGGGTCAGAGGGAATAACCTCGGCTCTCCCCCTGCAGCAGCAGTGGAAATGTACTGGGTGAGCAGGGGAGAGAATTTGCATTGCACCTGCCTAAGTCTGAATTAACAGAGGATTTACAGTCCTGGAGTTACCAGCCAGGAACCCCTCCTGACCAAAGGACTTACAGGAAGAAAGAAATGCAAAAGCAAATTTGGTATTTGCTACGTTCCTGCCAAGTAATGGGAGAAAGGCAGACACATTTTTCACTTCGCTTACAAAATCAAAATCTAACTTTGTTTAGACAGCACAACGGGGCTAAAGAGAAACCCGAGCAGCACTTTTTGAAGAGGAACCTGTCAAAATAGTAGCCATGTTTCAAAGCCAGACAATGTTTACTTTCCACTCAGTGCAAGAAAAATACAGGGAAGAGAGGACAGTTCATTTTACATGGGAAGTTCTCACTGATTTTATTAAGAATCTCCTGCTTAAATGATCATTTGACAGCGGGGAAAAATAAACCCCTCCTGTTCTGAGTTTTGTGTGGGAGCCAGTCCAAAAAAACCTTTGTGCCAAAACCATCTTTGGAACAACCCCAACAGATCTCAGTCGATGGCTACCGTAACAGCAGCTAAAAACTGCCCTCATCCTGGTGAAATAATGGAGACTTCTTCCTTTCTCCTAGGAACTCCAGGTGTGGAGAGCATCCTGGTCAGGAGCTGTGGGGGAGGATGCTAATGGAACCATTCCCCCCTTTCCAAACCAGTAAGTGCTTTGTAATGCTGGAAAAGGCAGCAGTGAGTTATCCAAAGCTTTGGTTCCACTGATGCTGAGTATCTGCAGCTCCTGGTGTGGTCTTGGCAAGGGATCTCCTCCTGAGCTCAGACTGATGCTGAAAGGCACTCAGGGCCTTAATGTCCCCCTGGCATGGGAAGGACCCAGATGCCCAAACCACCTGGAGATCCCAGGACCAAATTCCTGGAGCTGGGCTGTTTCCCTGGCAGCAGGGACTCAGAGGAAGCACTCAGACCCTGCTCAGGCTCAACCAGTAAGTCCATCCTAGGAGAGACAAGCAGCTCAGCTCAGTCGGTTCAGAGTGGAGAAGTGCCAACGCCAGCCAGGCAGAGCAGGAGAGAAGACCATCTGCACCACAAGGTCTGAAGTGATCCCTGCACACCAATCCCCACCCCAGCCACCCTCCCACTGTGTGTTTGTCTCTGATCACTCACCTTTAGGCAGAACAAATATCATGGGCACAGCAGACATGTTTTTTTATCATGGGCACAGCAGACATGTTTTTCTCACGTACACCCATGACATTTTTGGGAAGGGCAATAGCACAGCAGGGACACTGAGCAGGGCAGACAACCCCAAAACACCATCAGCAGAGCTTCAACATCAGCTCCCCATCACTGGCTGGCATCTGCACCCACTGGGGAGGCTCCCAGCTCACCTACCCCAGCTCTCCCTGGGAGGAATCACTGGCTCCCATCCAGATCACTGCTGCATCAGAGAGAGGGTTGGACATGTACCCCCAAGGCATTTTGGGGAACACAGGTCCCCGAGGGCATTTCCAGCTATCTAACACCTTGTCTGCAAGAGAGGAGAGCTTAAAAACCCATCCTGGTGAACAACCCTGAGCCTATCTCCTTCTGAGAGCTGAGAATGCTGGGCTGGGTTTGCCCAGCATCCTGAAGTCCCCTGTGATGCCTCCAACACCCACAGAAGCCAGCAGTGACAGCTCATGGCAGGTGGTGCTGCTGGCTGGAGCAGTGAGGGGGGTTATTCCAGCTCAGGGATAACATGCACATAATACCCTGGGTGCCAGGGAATGGATGTGCAGTGTGGGGTCCCCAGTCGGTGGGAACACCATTTGTATGTGCTCAGGCTGCTGAGCTGTACCTCTGGTCCAGTAAGGACACTCAGAGTATGACAGGGACTGGGATTTACAGGACCCACATCACCCCAGAGCACAGCCCGGGGCCCCAGCCCTCCTGTGCCCCATCTCTGCCTGGCCTTGGCTATCAAGAGGAATTTGCATGGGCCTGAGTCACAGACATCTCAGCATACACATTCCTCAGCCTCCAAAACTTCAGTCAAAGGAGACTTTTGTCAAGGAAAGCTCAGCCCAGACAGTTCCTGAAGAAACCCCAACCATGTGATGGCTTCAAACACAACTCCAAAGCCACAAACACAACAACCGTCGGAAGCAGCTGCCAAAGCACCAGATGCTGCTGCTGGAAAAACTGTTCTGCAGCCACGGGGTCTGGCCTGCCCTGCCACAAGGCAAAGGAGGAGAAGGAGGAGGGAACAGGAGCTGTGGGCTCCAGCACTGCTTGTGCAAAAGGAAAAAAAAAAGTAGGACAAAAGGAAACCAGCTTTATTTCAGCTCCTTAATAAAAGCTGGCAGAGGCTTTGCAGTCAGCAGCATGATCTCCACTGAGGGGTATGTGAAGCAGGGAGCTACAGCTGCCCAGAGCTAAAGGAGCTGGTCTCCTGAAGCAACAGACTCCCCACCAGCAGCTTAACCCTTGATTCTTGACAGAATGCTCAAAGGCATCTGCAAAGAGCCTGAAGCAGGGCTTCCACCCTGTGCCAGGGAGCCAGCTGCAGAGCAGCCCTGTGCCCAGGATGTGCCATCTCCAGGATGTGCCAAGCAGTCCCAGCTCACAAAAGTCACCAAACACTGTCTTAGCATCCCCACCTAAGCAAATGTTTGGTCCTTCTGACTGATTTCTGGGAAAGGGAGGATCAAGAGGGATCTGTGAAAACAAAAAGCTCCAGCACTCCAGTCACCCAGAGTCTGGTTTTATTGAGTGTTTCTGAGTCAGTATATGAACCATGAAAAGATCAGGGGAGGGAGCAGCTCTGGCTTCCCTGGTGAGGGGAGCTGGGGCTCACAATTTGGCTTCAGTGGGAAGCACCTGTGAGAACGAGTTTTGTGGTACTGACCTGGGTAAAGATCTTTCTCAATAAGCTTCATCTGGAGATGGAAGATCTGCTCCTGCAGTTTACAAATGGTGTGTTTCATTTTCTCCCGTCTTGTCACCATGTAACAGAGATTTCTAACCTACAGAAACACAAGAAACAGTGTCTGTTTTAGGCAGGGTCAAAGCAGGTCCCCTCAAGCTGTGCTGCTGCTCCTGCTGCCTAGGGAAATCCCCAGTTCCTGGGATTGCATCCTTTTCACCTCAACATCATCTGTGCTGCATTCCTACCATGGCCTTTTGGGTGAGCCAGGCTAGCAGTGAGGGCTTTTCATCCAAACTGGGTGGTACCCATGGGAAAAACCATGCAGTGAATAATTCCCAGCACAAACACCTCTGTCCTGGCTCCAACAGCCAGGGTCCCACGGAGGGCAGGAAGGCTGGAAAAGGAAGATGCTCTAGAAGGAGCATTATAACCCAGTCATGCAAAGGGCCAGCACCAACCATCTGAGCATTGTGCTGAGCCCTTGGCCCAGCTGCTGCACCATGCACATGTCCTGTTCACACCTGGCATGGCCACCTGCACAAAAAAATGCCACATTCGATGAAGCAGCTTGGTGCCCTGAGTCAATGCACCAGCTCTCATACACAAATTGCACCTTTTGCAGGGAGGGATAAACCCTCTTCCCACAGCCAGTGCAGGGAAGAGACTGAGCTGGGATGGGGATGTCAGAGCCTCACAGAACTGCCCTAAAGCAGATACCAGGAAAAAGCATAGAAAATACAAGAAAATACCCTGGTGATGCCAACCCAGGTCAGTAGCTGGAGCAGCTCCCTACCTCCAATCTGGCCCCTCCATATAGTTATTCACACGTGCTCCACAGCTACCTGCAAATCACTGGTGCATTCTGTCCTAGTTCAAGAAATTTCATCAACCATGGCAGTGAGGTTGGAAGACAATGATCTTTCAAAGTCCCTTCTAACCCAACCCATTCTATGATTATCTGAAGCTCTGAACACAAACAGCAAAGCACAAAATATAACTGCTCATGTGAGCAGCAGCAGCAGCTAAACCTGCTGCTGATAAACACCCCCAGTAGCACAAGATGACAGAGCTACTGCTGATAACTCCTGGCACCTGGCACTTGATAGTTTCAGTGCCATGCTTTTGCCAGCCCCACGTAAAGGTAGCTGGAGAGCCAGGCTCTGGCACTGCTGCCACAATGGACATCAAGGCTTTTGGAGCAAGCAGAGGCTTTCAGCTGCAGAGCATAAAATGCTAATGGCAGCTAACAGGATTTGAAAACATTTACTCAGCTTTTTGATGCTCTGAAAGAGCAAAGCTGACTGTAACAAGGTAAGGAGGAGGTGACCTCAATAGGGGAACATGCACATGGGTATGTCCACACTCACAGGTGACCCTGATGTCTTTGATTTCTCCCCCTCCTCATGTTCACACCCTTCTCTGCAGAAAGTATTTCCAGGCTTGGGGGACTGTCCCAACGTGGCCAGGAGCCTGTGAGCCTCTCACAACAATACAGCAAGCCAGGACACCATCCCATGTTTACCTTGTATCTGCCACCAAAGGCTGTGAGGGCAGCAGGACAACTGCAGTCAACACCTAGTGCTGCCTCACTTAAGGACAATTTGAGAATGTTTAAAAACAAAGGAGAAAAAGCTGCTCTTTTGTTGTTGTTGAATCCCTTAGCTGTAAATACAGGGCAGGGAGTTATATAGTGTATTTTACTATGTTCTCTTTTTTCTTTCTGGATTGGAGAAAACATCAAACTATTTCTTTATGAAGAAAACAACTGCTTCTGGCAACCTGACTCTTCAAGAGTTTGGCCATATCTCTTCTCCATAATTTGATATTCCTGAAAGAAAACATTACTTTATCTTTGCTTAGAGACTGCTGGTATTTACCCACACTTACACAGCTCAACACCACCCAGAGCTGCTTCTCCAAGCCAAGTTTAGATGCTGGTGTGAAAGCCTGGAAACCACAGCTTTTGTTAAAGCTAATTTAAACACACAGTCCCTTAAAAAGATTTTTAAAAAAGGCAAAGAGGGTTAAAAATGGCCAAAAATAAAATGGAGAGACTCTATTAGGATTCCCAGGTAATAGCTTTCATTTGCTGACACTGTGAAGTACAAAAACGACAAGGACTAGGAAATTACAGAGAGAACTACCATCATTCTGGCTGTCCCCATGTCATCTGCTCTCTGCTTCTGCCTCCCCAACTCCTGGACCCCTATACCATTATCAGCCTCAAAATCACTTCTGCCAGATTAATTGCTGAAATTGCTAAAATCCAACATGACCTCCTGTGGACACCCTCTGAAAGCCTTCAGAGCCTTTGAGGCTGCTCATCTCTGATCCCAATTTGATGTGATTCCTCACTATTTGCAAGTGAAACAGGGTGGCCATGACCTGCCAGGTGCAGGATCAGATACCTGGGATGCTCTGCTCACAATTGGATTTAAACCCCTATCACCCATCTGAGCACTGGACTTTGATCTGGCTGGTGTTTATTGTTCCACTCTTGGAAGCAGAACAAACAAACAGCTCTTCCAGGGCCAGGCAGTGAAACCTGGCAGGGAGTTGCTAAGCGGAGGCTGAATGCTGATGGGCACACCCCACAAAGCCTGGAGGCAATTCTGGAAAATGAGAAATCTGGTAAAACACGTAGTTTTGACACAAAGAAATCAAAGAGAAGCTGCCGTGAGCAAAGCATGGTACCCAGGGATGCACAGTGGTTCAGTGCAGCTGGAAAAGCCAAGCTGGAACAAAAGCAAGCAGCAGGAGGCAAAGCAGCCTGGTTTAGATTTACAGTATAGAGCAGATGAGGGGAAAAAGTGAGTTGAACTTGTCACCCTCAGATCAGGCAGATGCAGCCTGTTGCTGGAGACCCACTAATGGTGGCACCAGCCCAGCACAACACAGAGATGGAAATGTGCTAAGGCAGGAACAAAGCAGGGACAGACTAGCTGAGGGATGGCAGTGATGACCACAGGGATGAAAGCCCACAGAAGGACAGAAAATCCAGGTTCAAATCCAACTATTTCTAAACAGACGAAGGCTCTCGGGCTGCAGGATCCACACAGGTGCTGGGTGCAGCAGGGGACCAGGGCAGGCTGGTCCAAAGCTGAACCCCCACCTGGACACGAACACAGTGCTCACCCACACTGCCCTTCTCCCCATAGCTTCAGTTCTGCTACAGACCCACAGCAGCTTGAAGAGAGGGTTCAGGGACATGCAGGGGCAGCTTCCTCACCACCTTCACCTCCCAGGCAACAGTGTGTCACCTACAGCACCCTCAGCCCCTGCTCAGGAAACCACAGCATCATATCCCCAGGTCAGAACAATGCTATTTGTCTGCTTTCCTTCTTCCTTGCTCCTGGAGACTCCCTGAGCCGTGGGTGGGTGGTGTAACAGGGACCTGGGCAAGGGCAATGGATTCACTCCCCTGGCAGGAACAGGAGAGAGGGGACCAGGCAGGGCTTGGGTATTAGCAAAGGAGGAGAAGGAGCTCAGGCTGTGTGTGCCAAGCTCGGCATCCCTGCCCGCCTGTCCCTGTCCCTGTGCCACTGCTGCCATGTGCTACGCCCATGTGCCTCCCCTGCAGCAGCACTACTGCTGCACTACCCCTTCTGCCATCTCACCCCAGGTTCTGGGTGTGCTGCTTCTTCCCCTCTGCTTCTTCCTCTTGCTGCTTCTCACCCTCATGGCTGCTGCAACTCTCCAGCCTCTGCCCCATCCCTGCTCCTGCCCTCTGTGCAGCCAGGACAGCCAAATCCACAGGCAGCTGCACGGTGTGGCAGCAGCCCAGCCCAGGGAGCTCTGGCACCACTTGGGCACTGCTGCTCCACCAATGCTCCCTCTCACCCAAAACGCTGCTGTGGAGGCTGCATCCTTTGCTCTGGCTGGGAGGATTCATGGATGCCCTGGGAGCTGCAGGTGCCTGCATCCTCTGGCCCGGCTCTGCCTCTGCCAGCAGCTCCCTGAGGAGCTGACCCACTTTTGGCTGCAGCAGGGCAGGGGATGCCCAGTCCCACTGGCCCTGCTCTCGCTCTGTTTAAGTAAGTAACGATGTGTTCCCAAGCCTTGCTTCTGCAAAGCATCTCAGGGGTAACACAGGATAATTTTGTGAAACTATTTCAGTGTAGTGGACATAACCTGAAGCATCATCTGCCTCCCATCCACCCAGCCCTGCCAAGACACCTCTCCCTGCAGACATTTGCTCTTTTGAACCCCCATATGAGCCCAACATTAACTTGTTCCATCAATGTCAGTGTTTTGGCAGTGATGATGCACACACAATGAGCACTGCTACGTTTCTGAATGAAAATGAAAGAACGAAACTGTAAGGGGAGTCAAACTGAGTCAGGGAGAACAGGGCTTGTGCTGCCTGTGGGTGCCAGCAGCCCTGATGGAGCACATGGGTACACCACTGAAGGAGAAACTGTACTCACCCTCTCCAGGTCTTGCCTGAGGTGCATGAAGAGCTTTAGGCGTCGGTAGAGAACATCCTGCTCTTGCTGAGCCAGGTTGTCCACTTCATCCGTTTTTGGTGTCAGCAGCGGTTTGTTGGAGTTTGCTTTCCTCTTCAGCTTCCAGTACTGGTAGACAAAGTCCACCAGTGATTCACTTAAATCAAGGTTCTCTGCCACCTCGGAAGGCTTCACGAGCTCATAGAAGTCCTCCTCCAGCTGCTGGAGTTTCTGCTTCCGCAGCGTGACCTTCTCCAAGTCCAGCTGGGCTTGGTCAGGCTCTGTCCGTGCCTCCTCGGGCAACTTGGTGGCCCCAGTGCTGTGCTCAAGGCAGAAGGACTTGAACTTGACTTCGTCGTTGTCTGCAAGGATGGTCCGCATGTCGAGGTTGTGGTCGAAGGCGCAGGTGACGTGGAATGCGGTGACACAGGCGGGCATGGAGCACTGTGGGAGAAGGACAGGCTCAGGGCCAGGCACCATGGCTGAGGGGACACTCACCAGCACTACAGGCAACGTGGGCATGCCACAAACCCAGGGAGCCATCAGGGTGACACCTGCCAGGAAGTGATGGATGCTCCAACAGCAATTCCTGATGGAGGAACGCCTACATTGCCCCAGTCGCAGAGACCCAAGGGCCCAACACCACAAACACAAGCAGAAGAACCCCACAGCTCACCAGGTGGCATTTTCCCACCTAACCTTCTTCAATCCACCTCTGTAATGGGCCCTGCTCAACTCTCACCTACCATAACCAGAAGCTTCCACTGGTTCTTCCAACAAGATATGTCCAAAGCCAAAGAACAGCACGTGCCAATGGGATGCTCAAGGCTGTCAGTGGGTTTCTCTTGATGGAGAAATGCTCACCTGTATTTCACTCTCAAGCTATTCTCCTTCTGTTACCACATCTAAAGCCAATATGCCATTTTTACACAGAACATGGCAAGGTTTAGGAGTGAACATGGGATCTAAGAAGCAGCCAATGCTCCTGAATGCCTTCCTCCTCAGGAAGTTACACAGCCTCTAACTTGCTCCATTTAAAAAGAGAGAAAAATGCAACTGGAGCAAAACATCACAAACTGAATGCTTTAGAACTTGTACATTGGTTACAATGTTGTCAAACATGCATCAGAACAAGTTTTTAAATTATCTTCTGAACTTACCTCAGGCTTAAATTACTTTGGATCCCACAGGCAACAAATCTCAGCCTGGTGTCCTACAGAGGAACTCCCAACAGCCAGCTGTGCCTGTATCCATGTCAGCACCTTCTCCCCCTCCACTCATTAACTGTTTTTAATGGCTCAGAGTGTCACGTAATTATTTCAACCATAATCCATAAAAAATCAGTATATTCCAGCTGCTAATGACCAGTTACACTGCAATAATGAGACCTTTTAAGTGGGCTATTACTGTAGGCACTACTTTGGCATTAATACAAGAATTGTTCTTGTGGGGGATGAAGATGCACTTGTGGCCTGAAGGACCAGGTGGAAGCATGTGAAATTTCCTGAATGTTGATGACAAACCATTTAGTTTTACTGGGGCTCTGCTGCACCTTAATTCTCAAAAAGAAAAATATATTCTGGTAGTAGTTGAGGAACAGAAGTTTTACAGCTTTTTATCATCATCCCATCCATCAGCCCTGAATCCTGCTCAGGCACCCTGGGGCAAACTTTGACGTTGCTGCTTTTAGATATTTTCCTTTGACTTTTTTTATGAGTCTGCTAGTGCTCAAGAAGCTGCCAGGACCAAGAAAAGCATAGGCAAGCATTGTCCAAATCCTTCACTTCCAGAGCTCTCCAGGCCCTGCTCCAAAGCCTCAGAGTGCAGTGGGAAGAGCTTGATGCAGCTCTGGCTGTACCAGCATGGCTCTGGGCAGCAATGCTGGGCACCAAGTCCTGCAGGCACCACAAGAAAGTGGATTATGAACTCCGACACCACCTTCATCCTGTTTAAAAATGGCCATTTGGTCCTAATTTCAGTCTGGAATCGTTCATGAAAATATCTGGTAACTTGCAAAACTCGACTCCTTCTGCTATGCTGCTGGCACTCGCTTGGAGCCTGGCACTGTGAGAGACCTGCTGATGGTCCCTGTGCCAGCCCAGGGCACTCAGCACCACAGCGGGCAGAGGGTGCCTGCCCTGCCACCCTGGCCCTCCCCTGGGACAAGCCCTGTCACAGCCACACATGCAGCTGAAGCACCAGCTCCGTTCCCAAGTATTTATTTTTGGCAATGAAGGAGGGACAGAGGGAGCCCAGCCTGACTTGCAGCTTCCAGATTTACTCAGGGCAGTCAGTATATCACACGCTGGCTTTTAAAGCACACACAGTGCTGTCCCTTCCCTTCTGTTTCTGCCATCAGTGCTAAAAACAGCATTAACAGCACACCCATGTCTTCTGCCAGGACAGCGTCCTGCTAACAGCAATGACCATCCCTCCACCTTAGGAATAAAGCAAATCCAGTGACACTCATCCTGGATCTCTCTACTCCAACAGATGGCAAGCAGCACTTGTCAGAAACTGTGCCCAAAATGCAAACAGAAAATAATTAGGCAGTTCAGCTGACAGGGCAACAAAGAAAGATACCTGGTCGGCTACAGGCACTGAGGGATGCTGGATAAACTAACGATAAAAACAAATTGATCCATCCCAGAATGGCGCTGGAATGAAGCCACTTGTGGCAGGAGGGAGGGATCTGCCACACAGAATGAACCAGGCTCAAAAGACTGGAGCAGTCCCCGCTTCGGTATCGATTGTGCTTCATTGTCTTACAGCACCTTTCATTCAAGCACTTCAAGCACACTTTGCTTATCCAGGCAAATCCATTCCCAAATAAAATTCTGAAAGACAGAGAGAAGGTAAAAACTGCCCCAGAGACTTAAAGTGGGCTCCTAATTAGTCTTAAAAATCATTCTTACTGGGAAGAAACAGAGGGATGATTTTAGCTGCCAAGGTCATTCAAACAGAAGTTTAGCAGCTTGCAGTGGTGCTCCGGTGCAGTTTGGGGCTGAGGGGAAGGAAGTGGCTCCTCCAACAGACCTGCGAGGGGAGCTCAGGAAGGAAAAATTAATTACCGGTGCTGAACACTGGCCAAGCCATCAGACACAACACTTCTGCATCCTTAAAAAACTACCATGTGATTTTTCATGACCACAGATGGTCTGGAGCCTGGTACAGCTTCTCAGCAAAAAATGGCAATTTCAGCCTCACAGGCTCCTCAGAGGATGCAGGGCAGAGGATGGACAGGACTGGGGTACCATGGGCAACACACCCTGCTCTTATCCCTGATGCCTTTTCAGAACTACAGGCGGAAGACAGCTTTGGGAACCACCAGTTATCCCAGTGGATGAGGACCAGGGGCACTGCTTGTTTAATGGGAGGGGGTAGCAATGGGCAGAGAAGTGATGATGAATGGGGGAGTGATAGAGGACATTTCCAAGGGCTTTTTCTCTAAAAAGCGACAACAAAAAGAAAGCTGGAAGATGATGACTTCTTTGGAGAAGCTTGCCAACAATCAAGAGAGCCCTGGCATTCTGTGCTGCCTCTGTGAGCTCTTCCAGTCGCTCTGACAAGCAGGAGGAGGGAGGAGAGTCCCAAAAAAGCATGGTCAGGACTCAGGCTGCTCCAGATTCTGGCTGCTGGCACTCTCTTTTCCATCTCAGAAATGCAAACAAGAAAATTCCTCCTGTGTTCTGAGCTCTCTGGCATCTCCTGATGTCTGACCACAAGAACCACCATGAAGTAATGACTTCCCCTTAACAGGAGTCAGGCAAAGGGTGTTTCCAAAGCTGCATCCCTGCACAGCATCCAGTACTTCAGGCTCGATCACGGTCACACCAACTTACACTGGGCTCCCAGCTCTGTACCAGAGAGCAGGGGTTGAGTTAGGTGCAGCAGCAAGGCCAAAGGCATGGACCAGAAGCAGGGAGCCCTTTCTCGGGCTTCTCTGAGTTTCTTTCCCTTTTGATGGTCAAACTTGGATGGGGGAAAAACACCTCCACACACAGAGGTCCCTACAAAGACTTCTCATGTTTGTCTCTGCAAATGTGGCTGAGGTGGGTGTTTTCTCAAGCTGCAGGGCTGCTTCTGAGATGCCCTGCTTGGATGACAGTCTTCTACTCCTCCAGCCTGCCTCCCAGATTTCGCCTTCACAAAACCCTCTTGGCCACTTGGAAAACTCTCTCCTGGAAGCAACTTCCTTCTTTCCACAGACCTGCCCACCTGCAGCACCTGACTGCTGCTGCCAGGAACAAACACCCGATGCTTTTGCAGAAAACAACATTCTCCTTTCAGAGCTGGGTCACAAACCCAAAATGCTGACAAGGGTAGATCCCACCTGTATAAACAAGCACTAGAAAAATATGCTTCATAAAATACACTCCATAAAATATGCTCCACAAAATATGCTCCATAAACATAAGCTTTCAAAACAGAGCTCTGTATCATGGATGAGTACAGAGCGTATTTATTTACCTATGGGTGTTAATTTACCCCTTAAATAAAGGCACTGCCTGCTTTTTTGTCACTTCTCCCCCTTTTCCTTGAAGCAAAACCAGCAGGCACACAGCAGGGTGGCCTCGGCAAATGCTCCAGTGGCAATCTCATGAAGCCTTAAACCATCTGAGCACATGAGGCAGCAAGGCTCCTGTTCTGTCTCAGGTGACCTTTAATGCAAATCCATTCAGTACCCAGGATCTCACAGCTCCCATGTCACGATGGCACTAAGAGGATGAAGCCTGAGAGACACTGAATTCTTTTTGATGCTGCCAAGCCTGTTTGCTTCCTTCCCTGCCCCTCTGTTCTTTGAAAGCACTTGCCATTCTGACACAGTATCTCCATCTGGCAGGGTGAATAAGCACCCAGAGCCATCAAAAAATGAGTCAATGCGACAGATTTAAAGAAGCATTGTGAGATTTCACTTCAAACTATGGGGATTACTTTTAAATAGCTGCCTTTAAGGTATTAAACCCAAGACAACAGCACAAACACAGCTCAGCACTGCAGAGCTCCTATCCCTGCTGTCCTTCTGCCACCAGACAGCAGCTCCTGGTCCCCAGTCACTGCTGCAAACATTGACTTCCACCGTGCAGCTCCTGCTGAGCTGATCACTTGGGGTCAGGACACATCCCTCAATTTCTCTCAATTTTTCAAAGCTTAATGGCTATCCTCTGGGACCACCAACACATCACACTGGCCAAGCAGGTGGAAACAGAGGGAATCATGGGGTTCAGCAGTGCTCCCCAAATGCCCTCACACCAAGAATGCTGCATTGTGGATGGGAGCTTCTGCTCTGCTCCCCAAGAATAGAGATCATGCTGTGGGAAGCTATGTCCCACTTTTGCAATAGAAAAGCCTGAAAAATCCTGCTTTCTATCTGAAAACAGAATGCCTGCCTCTCCTGTTGTGGGGAGGGCAGGCAATCAGGTATCTGCAGTGATTTGTTTAGGTGTGGCACAACAGAAAATGTGGAAATGTAACACATGGTAAGCACTTTATTTTCCCAGCCAGCAGGTCAGTGAGGACTATCCAACCCTGGTGCACCCTGATATCCCCACAACTGAAAGGCTGAGGTTTGTGAAATACTTATGTTATGTATCCCATTAGCATCTCACTTTCCTGGCAGCCTCACAAAGCCCTTCTCCTGGAGGTTTCTCATCTAAATCAAGGTCACTTGCAGTCCCAGTAATTAGTGTCACTACAGCAACACCACTGTGTTATGCAAATAAAGTTAATCTAGATTTCTAGCACTCAGTGCATTAAATGATTGCAAACAGCATCTGATGATGCCTGACAGGCTCTTGTCATTAGGTTTACTCAAAACAGAAAAAAAGAGTCATTCACACCATGTCCTTCAGCATCTCAAGATGCTCCAGTGGCTAATCAGGTACAACCCCAGAGCTCTAAGTTTCTCCAGTGCCAAGTTACATACCTGAATGCATGTCCCAGTGCACTCCTTGCAGAGGCTGCAGGACAAAGCCCATCTGCTTGCTGGGATATGTGAGATCTTCGTAATGGGTTCCATTTTTTCAGGACATCCAATGCTAACCTGGCCACAAGATAGAAGACAAGTTGTAAGTATCGCCTATGGTCCCAAATCTCCTACAAGGGGGTGTCTGTGGCAGTCTGAATGAAGGATGGATTATATTTCTTATTCTTCAGGGTCAGCTGTAATTTGGAAAAAAACCCCAACCCCCAAAACCAGAAACAAATCTGGATGACAAAGAAGGAAAAAATTATGTTGTTTTTCCCTCTGCATGAATTCCTCATGTGAGGTGTATCTCAGATGGGCATATGAAATTAGCTTTACTCTGCTCAAAGGTATGCCCCCCACCTCTGTGGCCTTGCAGCCCAATTCTCTGCCCTCCCTTAACAGGGTGCTCCTTGGCTACTAATTAAACACACGGCACGATAACTGCCCGGCGTTGCGGCTCTGGCACAGCCTGACGAGAGCCAAACTGCATTTGTAAATAACACCCTGGGCCAAGACCTGACACCAGGACTGTGCTCACTGTCAGGAGGAGGTGGACAATGTCTTACTTCAGGTATCCATAAGGCACAGCTAACGTGGACCCATTTCGTGCCGCTCCGGGTGGGCTTCAGCGCTCCGCCCCTCTTGGGGCACAGCAGACACTTGGGCTGGACGCCGAGGGCGCAGGTGCGGCACAGCCAGCTCCCGATGGGGACCTTCAGGATGCCATAGCACGCCTGTGGAGACACGAGGGACAAGGGTTAATCCAGCAGCCCGGGATGAACACCCTCCCAAACCTCCTCGGTCACTCCCACCTTTCTCACTCCCGCTGCCTCCCCATAAACAGCAGACTCCATGCAGCACAGACAGGGAGCTGAAGTTCTTCCTTACTCCTTTCCCTCGTGGTGGATCAGTGTGTCCTGGGTTTTAACTAAAAGCTAAGTATAAAAATGTGCTGTGCATCGTGCCAAGCACCCGCCTGGCTCCGGGCTGGGGGTGGGCAGAGCCCCCTCCACCAGCAGCTCTGCGGTGCAGACATCTGCCCGCTCATGTCCTGCCTGCTCCTGACCCACGGTGACTGGGGAAAGTCAGAAATGATATGCAGAGAAATCTTCTGAGGTCACTGAGGGCTGAAAAACCACAAGCCCATGATTGAGAAAGTTGACCACACTGGTTAGAGACACAGCACAGCCCAAAGGGGAAGCAAAAATAAATATGGAAAGGCAAAAAGGGGAAGCCAATAGTAATGAATGTAAATGAGATGGGAGGAACCAAAAGGGATAATAAAGCTTAAGGATAACACATCTAAAGGGGGCACAGACAAGTCTCCAGCCAAGAGAGTGAGAACTGAAGGACTCAGGCTGCCCATGGAACTCCCTGACCTGCTGGGGTAATGCAGGACACTGAGAGGCCAAAGTGTTCCATAAATATTTCTCTTCTGTACTTGGGGAAGAGCCAAATGATAAGCCATATCACATAATGATAAATACTTCCCACTTTCACCATGATTTATGACTGTATTAAACAGCTACTACTGAAACTAGACAGTTTTTAACTGGCAGGTCCTGATAACTCACACTTAAAGGGTTTTCAGAAGGCAACGCACTGCCTTGGGCACTAACACAGGGCTGTGTCCCTATTTAAAGCGAGGAGATGTAATTAATTCTACATCTGGCTGCTCTGACATCCCTGCAGAAGGCAAGCAGCCAGTGCTGACAAGGACCCCCAGCACTGGTGGCTGCAAATTGAGCCCAGGCATTCATCAACTCCACTTCTTGAAGTTTACCTCCAAAAAGAGCAGCTTTTTCTCCTTCTGTTTCAGGTTATTGTCACTGCAAGTAACAGTGCTGTGGGTGGGGACAGGAACAGAGGGGGCACATGGAGATGTGTGAGCCTGGCAAAAGTACATCATCAGTCTCTACTGGCCCAGAAGACTACAACATGACTTTAGGTCACCCCAAATCACAAACTGGTAGTGGTTTCCAAGTGGAAAAAGACACTTTGTGAACAGATTATTAGGATAACAAGGAAATAAGAGAGGAAATATCATTGCTGTGAGTCTACATGGTTCAAAGAGACTTAACTGTCTCCAAAACTGATAGATAAATCATTTCTGTAACACAGAAATAAAACATGTGATTTATTACCAGGCAGGAATCAGCCTAATATGCACTACCAGCAGAATGAACTGGCAGACTCATCTCAAAATCCAGGGGAAATCAGGAATTATGACCATCTCTAGCAGACTCTTGGACCATGGTTATTTATTTCTAGTGATTTTGGAGTAGCTGAAGGTGCAATTTTTCTCCTGAGAAGCAAATATAGGGCTTCCATCCGAGACAAGGAGCAGCTCTAGAAACAAGGTGCATTATCAGCTAAACACACTCTTCCAAGTCCAGCACCAGGCAGAAGGTGCTCCAGAAATATGAAGCCAGAGGAATGCTGAATAGGAGCAGCACAGCTATTTTTATTGCTGCATCTATTTGGGGTGCAACATCACTGAGAACGAGATGCCAAAAAACCAGGGAGGATGCCAACCATAGACAAGCTTGCTGTGATCCATGGAACAGAGGGTGGGTTCAGCCATGTGCCCACAGCAGGAAAGGGAATTCAGTGATGACAGGCCCATGGCATGGTGGCTGGAAACTGAAGGTGGATCATTCCCATGCTAAACAGAAGAGTGATGTTGTCACTGTGAGAGCAATGAACTGTGATTTAACAGCGAGGGGCATGGTTCCACCTCACTGACAATTTTTAAAAGGACAACTGCACGTGCTTTCTAAAAGCTTCACTTCATAGGAGTTAATTAATAGCAAGCCTCATGGCTTGTTATGCAGATGAAGTGAGTACCACGATATCACCTGGCACCATAACCCACCACCTGTGTCTTGAGCCCCTTCCCAAAGGGATGCAGGAGGACAAGGCATGGCTCTGGTGAAGCCCTTGGCACCAGCACCCATATGCCTGCAGGAAAGTGTTATTCCCAGCAGGTTTTGGACGTGGTGCTGCAAAGGCATGATGCAGGTTAGATAACTGTGATGCCATGTAACACCCTGCACTGTGGCTCTGGACTTCATGGTTTAGGGTGTAAATTGGGGCAGAGATTAAATAATGGGCAGCTTATGGGCTGGCACAGGGCTTAGGGTTGGACTTTGCTTCCTGAAACAACTGAAAATCCCTCTTTTCTTTCAACAGCCTTGAAATCCAAGCTGCTGTGTCCCCTTCTGCAACACTGGGGCTGCTGCTTAAAGCGGAGCCCACATGGTGCCACGGCTCCTCCTGAGTCCCTGCTGTGGCTCATGCCAGCTCACAGCCTGACATTGCCACTTGGGCTTGTTAAAAAAGAACCCAAGACAAAAAAATACCTTGAACCCAACCCTGAATCATTCTGGTATTTTGTGGAATCTGATTCACTGATGGAAACCATTCAAAACACCCACTACCCGCAACTATAGATATCTCCAGTGCCCTCCCACCTCCAGGAAGCACTGATGGAAAAGCTGCCCAAAAGATGAGCAAATGGCTCTCTTGAGAACTAAAAAAACCCAAAACCATTCACAGAGAGGGTGAAGCCCAGGTGCTGCTGCTGCCATCCCAGTACCACACAGCGTTTACCCTGGAAGCACAACCAGTAGAACCTCCCTGGGTCCATGAGGGACTCAGGAGACCCTCACCGGACTGCCTTCCCCTTGTCAAGGTTTCCCCAAAAGCAGGAGGCCCACAGACTCCCCCCAGAAAGAGCTTGAAGAATTAGCATTCAATTCTAAAAATAAAATTATTTTCCTCCAGGCAGCAAAACAAAATGCAATCCCACGCTCACACAGTGGGGAAGCTGGGACAGAAACCCTGCGATGTGAGACTGCACTGGTGGAGCTGGAAGGTCCAACCACTCCCCAGACAAAGCAGAGGAGGAGGAGGAAGCTGGAGGGTCTATGCAAGCCCACCCCTCTGGTGAGCACAGGACTGCAGACCCACATCCCACCCAGCCACCTGACAAGTCTTGCACACAGTCAAGTATCACCTGAAAGTGCTGAAGATCCCACTGGGGTTTAATAAATGGGGTAAAGAATAAGCAGAAAGGATGAGGAGACATAAAATATTACAGAGACCAGAGAATAAGGAGGAAGGGGCACTTCAACCTCTGGTTGTGTGTTTCTGTGAGCACTAATAAATGGCTGGGGCTAAGAAAGTAAGAAAAACAAGTTTGCTGTCAGCCAGCTGTTCAAGAGTCCACTGCTATCCCCACTCCTGTGGAGCTGCACTAGGGATCCATGGGGAAAGCTGAACAGGTGCCTACAGCAGCCCAGGGGAAGGGATGGGAGGACGCAGAGCAGGAGGGCACCAGGGAGTGCCGAGCAGAGCCCCGCGCTGCCAGCCCGCGCCGGGCTCACCTGGTGCACGCAGACGTTGCACTTGTCACAAAAAACCATCTCGTTGCCATCCTCCCCCTCGGGCGAGCGGCACACGTCACACACCACGTCCTCGTCGTACTCGATGCCCAAGCCCTCCTCGGTCTCGATGGCGATGTTCATGTTCTCGTAGCACATGGTCTCCAGCTCCTCCAGCACTCGCTCCAGGGTGATCTCGTCCAGCTCAGGCTTTTCTGCAAGGCACAAGGAGAAGCGTGAGGGCAGAGCCACCGACGCAGCTCCCACCCGCCCTGGGGAGCGTTTTGCCAGGGGCTGAGCATTTCGTGGCAACTCAAGAACGTGGCAAATCCACAGCGACGGCAAACGCGGCAATTCGGAAAAGGGCTGCTCCTAACTGGGGATGCAGTTTGTATTTCATAGACAGTAACAAAATATTGCTGCTGGCTGAGAGGAAGGAAACCCATTCAGCTGAAGCAATGCGGATAATTGGGGCTGACAGTTTAAATGTTCAAGGAGACAAGTTTGCAAAGATGCTTTCTGCAGCGAGGGCTCAGACAAGCTTTGGCAACACAAAGTCAGTGCTTTAATTGTTGAGACTGAAAATTGACCATTTTAAGGCCAATTAAACGGAAAAGTAAAGCTGAAGCCAAAGGCAGAAACTGAGGATAAATGAGGGGTTTTTTTTGTATTTGGGTTCAGTGAAATCAGGAGGTCAGACCCAAGTGGGTCTTTTATTCCCCCCACACCAGGATCTTTAATGGAGAGAGATGGCAGAGATGCTTTACCAGAGCTTTCTCCACAAAGACAACCAGGAATATAAGGTCAATAACCAGCAGAGGTTTTTTAGAGCAACAGCCTCTAGGAGTGAGATACCCAGCTGCCTTTAGACAGGGCATGCTGCTACCAGGAGCTCAGCAGCCCCAAAATGGTGCAACACAGAAGACTTCTCCCAGAAGTGCTGCATCCCACCTGCACACAAAGATCCTGGTGCCACAAATGAAATGTGAGGTCACTCCAGGCAAGGAAGAAAATCTGTCAGGAGCAGGAGTGAGGTTTTCTGTAAAGCCCCCATCACACCCTGACTCCCAATAAGCTCTATGTCATCAGAGGAGAAGGGACAGGGACAACAAAAGTACCAGCAGGATGCAATACAAAACGATTAAGACTTTGTAGTTCATTAGTGTGAAATATCCACCACTGGCCAGACAGTGGAGGAGCCTGGCCCAAACCGCTGTCCACCCTTCTTACTCCAAAGTAATGGAAGAAAATACCTCATTTATAAAAAGAGATGGAGAAAAAGGGCTTGAGGAAGAACCCATAAGAACCAGTTACTAATTAAATGTTCAGTGAAAGATCTGGCATCCTGGTCATCTCTCAAGCCACAGTGTGATGTCCCTGTTCTAGGCTGAACTCTGGGCTGCTCTAAAGCCCCAAGGGATGGAGTTGCAGGGAGTCCCAACACCTCTGGCTGGATGGAGCTGGCAGAGGCTGCATCTTTCCCCCCCATAGCCACTGATCAACTGAAAAAACTCTGTCAAAGGGGAAAGCATCATGTAGGCAAGCTCGGCAAGCAAACACACCATTGTCTGCCTTTTTAAGCTCTTCCCCAATGTTTCACTGGCACGGTTTCCCTTGGCTTGACAAGTCCCTGCAAACATCCAGCCTGGCATTTTACACGTCTATGTCGAGTCTGAGATACCATCTAAGACAGACAACACTGTTCCCTATCACAGCCCTTTCAAGAGCTCGGGCTGCTGTGCTGCAACACGCCAAGGAACCTGCCGGTACCTGTTTGATCCTGCAGCAGCCCCGCCATGGGCGTGGGATCGCAGCCCCAGGCTGGCACAGGCTGCCTGCAGCCTCTGCAGCTCAGCAGTGTGAAGCATCCTGCACTAGCACAGCCCTGAGCACCAGGGCTGGGATGGAGCCACCCCCTTGCTCTTGGCATAGTAATGGTTGGGTGTCATGGCAATGGTTTAGCTTGGAAGGGACTTTAAAGATCTTCTTGTTCCAGCCTCCCCTCCATGGGCAGGGACAACTTCCACTAGACCAGGTTGCTCCAAGCCCTGTCCAAGTGTTCCCTTGAACACTTCCAGCCACAGCTTCTCTGGGTAACTTCCCCACCCTCACAGGGAAAAATTTATTTCCAGTATCTAATCTAAATAGATCCTCTTTCAAATCAAAGCCATCCTCCCTTGTCCTACCATTGCCTGTGTGTTACAGAGAAAGTCAGAGCATTATTTCTGCCTCAATGGAGTCCTTTTACAAACACACCACCCGAGGTGCACTTGCTCAACATGATTTTATGTGAGTATTAAACTAGTCCAGCAAGAATATCCTCCTCTTGGTCAGGGTTTCAACTCCTCGTCTGTGAGTATGAGCCTGGGCATCAGAGTGCCAGTCTGGAGTTACTCCATTCCTCCCAACATTTCAGGCTCTGCTCTTCTGGAAAGCAAAACGATCAAGGTGTTCCCAGTGCTTTTCCCCACACAATTTCCAGAGCTGCCCTGTGCTCATGGGAGAGGGCAGGCAGAGAGCTGGCAGCTGCAGGCAGCAAGAGGAAGGAAAGGGAGGGGGTTTCCCACAGGAATCATGAACTCAACCTTGCCCAGGGTCAGGATCATGCTGGCATTTCCACCATTCCACTTCACCTCGAGTGGAAAGAAGCATCACCGCTCCCACATCCTGAATTTTCCACCATCACCCGCTTAACCCTGGGAAGAAAGTTCATGCTGATCCCACAACTCCTGCGCCAGAGAAGGCTGGAGGCAGAGGGAGAGCAGCACTTTGGTGGGGTTCCCTCACCAGGCTGTGTGGCATGCAGCTGCTCCAGCAGCACACGGGGAGTGTGGATCCATCCCCCTGCACACACACACACACACACACACACACACGCTCTCACACTCCACTGAGGTGTAATTACATCAGGAATGCTCTTGCCAAGCGGCATCCCAAACACCTCGGAGCTGATTGAATTGACAATTGCACTTGATGGGGATGAAGCGATTAATCGTTTATGAAACACTAAACAATGGGGCCTGGGGGTGAAGTGCTTTTTCCATTTGTGCTCCACTTATCTCCTTCTGCATCACATGAAGTTTGTGCTACTAAACTCCATTCATAAAATTGTCATCTTTTTGGCCGCAAAAACTCTCTCTTTATTGATTGTGGCCAGCTAAACAGCAAACAAAAAAATTCTCCACCAAAATGCTCCCTGTGTACATGCACAAGTGACACTATTGTTGTCCCCAGAGAAGGAAAGCAAAGACACAGGCAACTGATCTTGGCCACAATTAACAAATCCAGCGATGTCCACATGTGGGACCATCCCCAGGTCAGCAGACTCTACCTGCTGACCAAGAGAACAGTATTTTCACCTGGTTAAGGTGTGCCAAGGCATTGGACAAGAAAACAAAGCTTTTCTGAGCCCCCACAGAAGACAGCAGTGATAACCATACATTTCTTCAGAGTTTCTGTCTGGAGAGACACAGGCAGAGGTGAGACTTCAATCCCATGCCAATATATTCCCTGACTATTTAGTTCAAAACACCAACACAGGAGGAATATGTCCCATCACCCCTTCCAGGAGGCCACCCACACCCTTTCCCCATTAACACTGAGTTCATTAACAATGATGGGTTTTGATGTGGCTACCCAGCCTCCCTGGAACACCCCAGTATTGCCCCACAGTGGGAAGGGCTGTAATCCAGGGAATGCAGCCTCCCACGGCCTCTCAGATGAGAAAATCTGTCCCCTCTTTGCACAGGGCAGGATGCTGCAGGGTAGCACCTTCCCAGCTAAAGGAAGCACCAGAAAATGGGGCTTGCTTCAGAAATAGAGAAGAGGTGACAGATAATGATGCACTACAGGAGGTCTCTAAATCTGATTCATGAAAAGAAAACATGAAGGAACTTTGCTTCAAGCAAAAAAGTCTTCCCTGTGTGTCTGTGTCAGGGTCTGCCATGGTCCCTGCAGCTCCACAGCATCCCAGGGGCTCCCAAGGGGCCTGGCCCAACTCCACACAACTCAGCCCTTACAGCTGCCCATACAGCACCAGAGTTTCAGCACTCCATCCCAAAGGAACTGGGATTACTGGGCTGGCACTGCAGCCACAGCGCCGCGCCAGGGAGAAGTACCAGGCACATTCCTTCACACAACGCCGCCCTCCACTGTAATTATTCCTGTAATATTGTAATTTATGTGGCATGAAGGAGCAATATTCTTCTGCTAAATGAATTCTCAGCTACTCCTTGTCGTGGTGTGAGCCAACTCACTGTGAGGGGAGGAAAAAAATAGCTGGAGAGCCACCTTTCACAAAATAGAGCCCTATTTCTGACTGAACTGTGCTCCACTAATATCAATTTACTGAAACAATAAATGCGTTCCCCCTGTGGAGAATACCTGGAGATAGAAACTGCTCATGAACAAACAGCTATCAGGACTGCAGGCTGTGCCTTTCGCTGATTCACAGACTATAAACCTGGGAGTCTACTTTTCAGGAAAGATATATATAAAAAAACAAGCAAAATTGCTGCTTTTTAAAATGATAATAAACAAAAAAAAAAAGGGAAAGCAATTGTGAGATGATGTAGGCTTGTCTAGGACTATCTTTGAAAACCTGAGGTGAAAGAATGACAGGTCCCTGATGGGATGGGGTGTTCACACATGGTACAGGGACCACACACTCCAGAAATCTCCTTCCAGCTCACTGGCCTCCAGCTCGCTCCAGGCAAGCCACTTCAGACCTGCCTGCTTTGGCACTCATGGGGACACCAGCCACCCTGCCCTGGGCTGAGTGCCCCCCAGGCATCCTGCAGGGACATCAGGGCACGACAGCCAACCACCTGAACACCACACCAGACCACCTGAGACGCCCAAGCCACCTCCACCCCACCACCTGCAGACACACAACTCTTGGGACGATGCAGCAGTTGTACATTAATCTTTTATCAGTGTTATTTATAAATAGACCCTACATGTAAAGTGTGACCAACACACAGTGAACTGAGCATCCACAGTGAAACCTCCAGACATTTTGTTACAAACACAGCCTGCTAATGCACTTAAAAGATTTACAGGAACCAATTATCACCCTTTCTGCCACCCACCGACATCAATTATTGCTCAAATTTAAGATGATGACAAAATGTTTCAGAAGCCACTTTAGAAGCTGCTGTCTCTCTGCAGCGATGCTTGGCTCTGACAGGGCTGTCCTAGAGCACTCCTGATGAAAGCCTCCTCACCCCATCAGCAGCAAAACTGGAGTATTGCTGGAAACTACTGCAATTACTGCCAGGAATTTATGGAAACAGCAAAACAGCGACTTGACGTAAAAACCGATTGTGCTGAAAATGTGGAGGGAAAATGTGTTAAGAGTCTCCCACTGGTCTCCAACCCTGATAATATATACGTTAATACATCACATACAAACAATTAATACATTCATTTGCACATGGTATTGATTATCTGAATCTCTAAGGAGATAAATAAACTCAGATCCAGAGGCTTGTGGTGTTATACAGAGGGGAATAGCTTCAAACTGACAGAAGGCAGGCTGAGATGAGTATTAGGAAGCAATTCTCCCCTGTGAGGGTGCTGAGGCCCTGGCACAGGTTGCCCAGAGAAGCTGTGGCTGCCTCATCCCTGGAAGTGTTCAAGGGCTTGAGGCAAGCAGGGCTAGTGGAGGTTGTCCCTGCCTATGGCAGGGGGCTTGGAATGGGATGAGCTTTAAGGTCCTTTCCAAACCAAGCCATTCTACTATTCTATCCTGGGGTGTCCTGCACAGTGGGACACGGGCACATGGTAATGGGCAGCAGCTGCTTGGAAACAGGCTCTGTCTGGGGAGTGCCAACTTGCTGCCTCAGGGTGAAAAAGGGGCTCCCAGAATCCCAAAAGGATGCAGTGGGATGGGAGCAGCCTCCAAGTGCGACACCCAAGACTGCCAGGGTGGGAAGCAGCCACTCTGTGAGGAGCAGGACTGACAGCAGCCTCTGCTCCACTGAGCACATCTTGCCCAGGGTACTGCACTGACTCCAGCTTATTTCACATCTACTTGACCAATCTCACCTCTGCCGAGGGAGGTATCAGCTCATTAGTACACAGACATATCTCAAGTATGCAGCGATGAATTCCCCCCGGAGCTTCAAAAGCAATCCATGTGACCTTTGCATGTTCCTGCCATAAAATACCAGGAACACCTCCAGCTCCCAAGATAGAAGCTGTGGTGGGCATATGTGAGCAGAATACACCATATGGATTAAGTCAAGGGAATACTTAGAAACTTCGACTCTGCCTTCAGCAAAATTGATTCCGACAACAATTTTAGCAATTTCTTGAGGATTTTCCGTGTGTTTATGAAGTGCCGATCACTGCAAAAGGATCTTTCAGCCTTGGTCTTTGAAGTCTCTCTAGCTCCACTCTTACAATAGCTTTGGATTTAGTGGAGATCAAAAAACACAGCATAAAATGTTAATGTAAAAATGAAGACTTATGGCATGGCTCCTGTCTAAAAGGACAGGCCTGTGCTGCCTGGAATGGCGTGGACATTAATCTGGCTCCAGGCTCCATTCAGTCTTCTTCAGATCCACATTTTTTACAATCTCATATTGCAGCAGCAACAAATAAAACACTTAGGCATGCCTAAACACTGACTTCATCTCCAGCACACAAAGGTTCTTTAAACAGCACATTTCCATCAAGTACAGCAACAGCTACTGAAACATCTTACTAGGGGGCTTAAAACTATTTAAAGCTCTTTTATGTTTAAAACTTTTGCTTTTCAAGTAAAACCTTTGCTTTCTGGAGCAATTCCACTTAATTGGGAGAAGAGTCAGCAGGCAGAATGCAGAGAGCTGGAGCTATCTGGAGGTTTATCTGATCTTGGTGATAAAATTCTATCCCTGGGGTGACCTAAAAAGGACTGGAAAAGGCATGTGCTGTGTGCTACGTAGACCCACGAAAGGCGAGCTGGATGATCTCATAGGTGTTTTCCAGCTCTCCTCCCCACACATCCTCAGGAGCCAGTCAGAGATCTGGATCCTTCTTTGCCATTAAATATTTTGGGAATGACATACTGTGCCCCGGGACAGCCCAGTGACAACAGTTCAGCCAAACACCCATGAGGAATTTAAACTTCTGCCTACCTCCTAAATTAATGCTGGGAGGTAACTCCTGACTCCTCTGAATAGGAGGAGAGGCTGCCATTCTCTAGTTAAGTCATGTTAATGATCTTGGAGATTAGCAAAGCAGGTTTGGAAATCTCAGGGAGTCATTAATGGTGTCATTAATGTCAAGGGCTTCCGGGAGAAAGCGCTATTTATGGACTGCCTTTGGACCAACCCAGCAGGGCAATCCTCTGCCCTGGGTGGGGAAGGGCACCCAAATCCCACCCTGGCTTTTCCCACCTGGGAAGCAGAGGGAGTAAAGCCCCTGCTCGGTCCCAGCCTAGGAGCTGAGCAGCAGTGGATTTGCTACAACAGCTTTCCTCTACCAGCACCAAACCCCATCACTTCCACGGGCAGGGAGGATGCATCCCTCAAAGAAGCCTCCAGCCTCCACAGCAGGCACGGCTGCCATGGTGATGTGACCGTGGCCCTGCAGCCAGGAGCACCAGCTCCCATCCTGCTGCCCACCTGCCAAACCCCCAGCTCCCCACAGCATCAGGGATGGGGCATTATCAAAGCCACATCTTTTGCTTTCCAGCTCACTGGAAAAAATGTACTAGCCCTTGCACTGCTAGAGAAGTTGGGAGCCTAGGGAAGGGGGAAAGATACCAGAATCTATTGGGCTGAAGCTGTATCCGCAGTGGATTTCACATGCCAAACACTGGTTTTCAAAGCTACTCTCTCCCCAGCATATTTAAGGCTCAGTCAGTAATGACAGTGCTCCCTCAGTGACAGGAATGGGCTGGAGAAGCAGGTGATGGGCAGTGATGTTCTCTGCACTGCCACTGCTGAGATCACCTTGGTCCTTATCACCATCTGGAGTTGATGACGGCAGGAAGGCTCAACAGCTCCCTCAGATTCTGTGGTTTCATCCAGCCTGGCCCTGGACAAACATCTCCTAAGGACACTCCTTGGAAAAGATGACTGGCTGATAAATGATGAGATGGAGGGAAAAAAATGCAGCTTGCTCAGAATGGCTGAGGGTCAGAAGCAAAGCACTGCCTGTGCCCTGACCTGGGACTCCCTGGGATGCTGAGGTGCCAGCCCACACACATGCCTGCACGGAGCAGGGGTATGGCTGGCATGGAACTCAAGCTCCCCTCCTAAACTCAACTCATTCCCAAGGCAGTGCTGCTGGAGCAGCCAGCACTCTACCCCAGCACCCGAGGGTTTGGCACATGCCAGCCCAAAGGTGACATAGGGACAGCCAGCAGCCAGTCTGGTCTGGGGCAGGGACCTTTCAATGATCACAACCTTCCATCACCCCAGGAGCTCCACATCTGGACACTGCATTTGAAACCTAATACTTTGAAGAAATTATAAAGCAAGGAAAATTTAATCCAACTGAGCTGGAGAAGCCAAATCTCTGCCCATTTCATTTCTAGAGACTTATGAAATACACACAAGAGGAAGTGTAAATAGACACAACACCTCTCTGGAGCCCAGAGACACTTCTGATGGCCATGCAGCTGTGCAGACGGCAAGGGAAATGTAGCAGGGGATACAGTGAAGGCACAGCAAGGTCAGAATGATGCCCAGTGTGGTTGAAGGTGGTTTCTTGATGCAACAACAGCAGCTGTGCAGGGTTAGGAAGGGTGGATCCTCTGCAAGTCCTGAGCAAGACTGAGGCACTTGCCTTTATCCAGCAGCACCCTCTGCTCTGCCCAAGGACTTCAGTGTAGCTGCCAGTGCCTCAAAACCTGTGTGTGCTAATGACAGAGCTGAGGCTAATACAGAACCATCTAATGAGGGCAGAAGTGACTTCTGATTTCTCTGTGATGCTACAGGCTCCACAATGTTGAGATTCTGGGAAACCCAATATACAGGATACCTATACCAGATAATCAGAGAAACTGTGAAAGCAGCTTCTACAACTTTCTCAAGGTCATGGTAACAAAATTTCATTGTAAATCATAAGCACACCAGAAGGACAGATCTTCCAAAAACAAGATCCATCAATGTCATGGCCAACTTCTGAGCTCGCTCGTGCTCCATGCAAGCTCACTGAACTGCATCTTCCTGACCTCATCCTGAATCCTGCTGCAGCCCTCAACCAGCTGCCTGTGAGAGCCAGCACAACCCTCCTGCTCCACAGTGCACTATCCCATCTGCTCGAGCACCTGGTCAGCCCTCACTGACCTCACAAGGTGAATGCTTTATTGAGGTATTACTCTTACCTGCAGAGCAGCAGCCACACCACAGCAACCTTTCCTAACAAGGACTGGAAAATCCCTCCACAGTCTGGCAGGACTACACACACCCGTGGGTCTGTGCCAACAAATCTGCCCAGCAGACCATGCTAAGCACTAGTGCCAATGGTCAAATTCCAAGCTCAGGTACTTGCACTCAACCAAAATCCCCTAAAGGATTTGAAGAATGTGCAGTGATATAACAGCAGTGATGCAGGCAATGTTATGCTGTGGTATCTAGAGATGCCTGGAACAGGAAACAATCAGGACCAGCATTTCTGACATTTCTTCTTCAAGGCCTTTAGTTCCACATGCTTACTCAAAAAGCCTGATTACCCACTGTGGGACACCCAGGCTATAAAGGGAAAATAAAACAGCAATACCCACCCATCTCCTTGAGCTCCATGTTAACAAGTTCCAACCAGCAGGCATCGAGCTCGTCCAGGTCATAGCGGCTCATTCCTTGCAAGTAAGTCCTTGTAGCTTCTGAAATCTCAGAGACAGGCAGGCTGCTCGGTGAGACCTGTGAAAGAGAGCTCTCCAGCTGGGGGATGATCCTGGAAGAAAAGAAGGGGAGGTTCAGAAAGAGCTACAACTCAGAAAAATATTCTGTTTCTTGCCATGGAGGGTGAGACCACACTGGACACCTGACTGTGAAGGAAAACAAACCACTGCACCTGAAGTCAGTCCATGGGCCAGCACTGACAGACAGCCTCAGCAGAACTCCTATAACAAGAGTGTTCCCATTCACCCTCAGAAATTAACTCTTTACATGAGAAAAATGGGGAGCAATGGAGATTATGATCTAAGTACTGACAGCAAGCCCCCAGCCACTAACTGCTCCATGAGCACCTCCAGTGTGCCTTACACTGCAGTGCCACATCCACGCCGTGCTGGGCACATTTCAGCACACTTGGCACTGGGGAAGATCTCATGGTGGCCTGTGAGATTTGTTCTGAGTGCTCTCTAATCACAACCACAGAGATGGAGAGAGGAGCTGCCTCATCTGCTGCAAACTCCCTGCACAGAGAGCAACCAGGCTCTGGCTGTCAGCTCTTCTGCCTTTCCTTGGCAACTCTGCAGCAATATGCATGATACTTGCCATGCACATGTCAACAGTGTCACGCCTAATGACATGCAAGCAGAGGACAAGCTGGAAATGAGAAGCAGCCTGTGGTGCCAGCTGACAGATCTCAGTGAAGTTGGGAGCTGGAGCTTGCTGCAGTATTTGCACAGCTCAAACTTCCTCCCCTGAAATCCACCTCCTGGCACAGATACCAAGCCAGAAAGATGCTGCAAAGAAACAGCAACCAAACATACCTCACTGCAGCACATCAGCCTCTTCCAAACAGCTTCTCCCCATGAAAAGCTGGAGGACCCAGCCCTGCTCTTGCACCAGTGCCAGCTGGGAAGGCTTTTATTTGCCTTCTGTCCTGCTATGTAAGCTAATGTCAGAGCACTGAGTGCCTTGTGCTCTGTGATGTGTCTGGGGCAAAGCCATGGTGTCCATCACAGAACCAGATGAATTGTGGTACCCAATGCTCCCAGGTCTGCATGTGCCAAGGAGAGACACTTGAGCCCAGCTGTCCTTGGGAATGAGACCCTACCTCCTGCCCTGCCCATGGTCAGGAAGGAAATCTGTAGCAGGGCAGGAAAATGAACCTGGAGTTCCTACAGACCCAGACATGCAATTTAATTGCTGTCCTCTGTGGTCACAAACACTGGAGGTACTTCCAGAGCTACCAGCAGGAGAAGCAACAACTAATGGCTCAGAGAGGGAAACATCAAGAAGTGGGTTCTTATTATCTCTTTTGCTTCACTTTCCCCACCAGTAAATTAAAAATAAAGATGTGACACAATGTCCTGGGTTATCTCCAAATTTATGTTAAAGAACCAAAAGGTTCCCACATTTTAAAACAATCTAGGATAGGACTTGGGGATTCACTGATGCAGAGAGCAGTCATTAACCTGGAACTAGGCATGCTCCAGCCACAGCTTCAGGATTGGCATCTAAGGAGCTCCCAAACCCCTAAAACCACAGAATCACAGAATAGATGGGTTTGGAGGGAACCTCAAAGATCACCCATTTCCAACACCCCCTGCCATGGGCAGGGACAATTTCCCCTATCCCAGGTTGCTCCAAGCCCCATACAGCCTGGGCTTGGGCACTTCCAGGGATGGAGCAGCCAACAACTTCTCTGGGCAACCTGTGCCAAGGCCTCACCACTCTCACCGGAAAGAATTCCTTCCTAGTATATAATCTAAAATCTGCCCTCTGTCAGTTCAAAGCTACTCCACCCTGTCCAGTCACTACACACCCATCTCAAAAGTCCCCGTCCAGACTTTCTTGTAGCCCCTTTAGCCACTGAAAGATTCTATTAACAAAAAAATAAAGTGGGGGCTGCTGGTGCAACGTGCATTGGTTCATGTCAGACTGAACCTCTCCTTCCCACGAGCCCAAGTCTGGGTCATCCCTCACAGAAACACAGCCTGGGTGTGGGAGCAGCCAGGCTGGGCACAGCCTTGTTAGAGGAGAGAAAAAAACAGTCCTCCACCTGCAAGGGATGCTTCGGTTGGGAAGAGCTGCCTGAGCAGGCACGAGGTCAGGGCCATAAGCCCTCATTAAGCCAAGTTACAAAAGCTGCTCACCCAAAAGCCCCTGCAACAGGTGATGCTCTGACACCGAGCCAGCCACAGATGCTCAGGATGGCAGGAGGAAAAGAGCTGCTATTTTTACCCTGGCGTAAAATTACAAAGATTAATGCTCTGTGTACATATCAAAGGAGCATCCTGAACAGGTCATTTACTGTATTGACAGCACTGAAATGCACTCGGCGTGATAAGGATGCTGACGTGGCTGGAGTTATCTCACACAGTGCACGGGATACTGCCCGTGTGTGGGACACAGCTCCTGCCTGAGCCTGGGCACGTCCCCTCCCACCTGGGCACACAGCCTCCACTTCCTTTCTGCAGATATCTTATGGAAAACTTTTGCTGAACCTGATGCTCAGAGACAGGAGGCAAGTGACTCTCCCCTCGAGTCCGTACCAGCCTCCCAGCCCCCCCAGACCTGGATTCATGCTTACACTCTCAGGTCCTGGCTTTGCACAGTCCCTGGTGATGCAGAGGCCACAGGGAGCTCAGAGGCTCACTGATGGTAACAGCTCCACAGTGATCAACATCCAGCTTTTTCTAACACTGTAATTAAATGCAGTTTGATTTGGTTTAATGGGAACTGGCACTCAGAGAGTGACATTCTGCCTCTCACCACGTCACTGATGATGAAGATCAAGGTAATGAAGATACAAACATCTAACAAGCTCACCAGCACTCTGTTAAAAGGTCTGAGACATGCCAATGGAGTGATGGCAGGTGCCTCTCCCCATCTGGGAACACAGGGATCAGAGAGGGATGATAGGTGCTGCAGCACTCAGCAGACACTTTCCTACAAGGAATAAGTATTAATATAAAAAGTTCTTAAGAGGATCACTAAACTTTACTTTTGAAATTTCCTCCCCACAACCTCATGCTGATCTGGCAGCATGGGCTGGGATCCCCTGGAGTTAACTCAGGCATGGGGATGTTGGGACATATTCGTGCCATTTTCTCAGCATTTCAAATATTAGCAAACAGAGATGGTCAGAAATGAAGAAACTGAAATAGCTCATAAATTATTTTTTATACGGTGAGAAACTTGTATAACCCTATGAAGACCTGCTGGAAGTCTGGTCCAGATCAATTCTGGAACTCATCTCCAGCACTCAGTTAAAAACAAGGGTTTTATGGCTTGCAAACAATTCAGCAAACCCTAAGGGGAGCCTGTGCCTGTTCCCATGAACATTCCTCCCACCCTGAGGGGAGCTGAAGGCTGCCAGATGCTGAGGCTCACATGGGGCATCCCAATGCCCCAGAGGTGCACAGCCTGCCACTGATTCCTGGATTTGCTTTGATGGATAAAATCACGCTCCTAAAAAGCAGCCCACTCCTTCCTGACACATGCCAACACACCTGCAAAGGGCTTCCTGGTGCTGAGACACAAAGATCAGTGACTGCAGTGATGGTGCCTTAGGACAGGAGGAGCTTCGGGAGCTGAAGTCCACTACAGTTACTACTTAAACTACAGCTAAAGACAAGAGAGCAATCCTTTGGAACAGACCATGCCCTGCCTCTCAGCCACACAGAAAACAGACCAAGCTGGGCTCCCTTCCTCACCTCCAGTAGCTTTGAGAAACTGGAGCCCAGAAGTTGCAAGCTTTGTGCTGTCCAAATGCTGCAGTGGATACACAGTGAGAAAAAGGGAACAGAGCACAGAGGCTGCCCTCACCAGTGTCTATCCATCTCCTGCTGGGCTCCAAGAGCTGGGGATGTCATCAGGGCTCCCCTTTTGTGCAGGGACAAGTCTTAGTCCATTGGGAAACCATGTTTGCAAACAGCTGCTCTGTGGACAAAGAAATACCCGGGTGACGAGGAGTCTGCACAGGAGCCACCAACACACCCAAATTCACCATCACAGCAAAGAATCACAGAGGCAAAGCCTCCACCAAGAGCCAGACCATTCACAGAAGCTCGATTACAAAGGGAGGAGCATTTATTCCTTTATTTATCCAGAGACACAGCACTATTTTAAACTCCTGTATCAATCAAAGGCTGATTTTAAATGAAAGGTTGAAAATTGGGATCAGCCTGAAAATCACAACAAACCTGAGGCCATTAGTCTGAAAGTGGGTCTCAAGGGCACTTGAGGAAAAGGAGTAAGTGGACCCCAACACTCTTGAGGATCACATCTATCCCTGGAGAAGATTACACAGCAATAAAATATGCTCAGCAAATTCCCATGGTTAATCATCTCTGTAAACTGAATGCTTCACTTGGCTGAAGGGAGAAGGCTTTTTTCCCTATATGCTCCCTTTTAATATATCAGATAGAAATAATTAATCCTACATAGTGTTTCTCATCTAAAAATACTTAATTTTATTACAATGAAGACATTAGTCAGTAATATTTTCTTTACCTCCATTCCAGTCTAAATTAGTCTTGTCCAATGTCCATAAATAAGAGAGCTTAAGAAAGTCAGTGGAACGATAGCTCTGCCAGCAACCTTCAGTGCTGATGCTGTTCCTACTGCCAGCTCTGCTTATGGGGGAATTCTCCTGTGGCACACGACTTTAAAAGGGCAATTTAAAGGGATGATTTTCACTTTCTGTTTATTAAAATAGTATTTAGCAGGCCATTTGGACCGGATGCCACATTTTCTTATGAACTTCAGCTAATACATTGTATAGATGGTATTGCTTCTCAACAGCAGAGCAGAATTTAAGTTAGAAAAAGTGCCTGGGGGTGTAAGGGTGAAGGATAGGGTTGGAGATAGTGGTGTATGGTCACAATAATGAGCCACAACCCACACACAAAGGTTTGTGATCCTCAGCGTTCCCACACCCAGATTTACTGACCATGTTACTCCTACTCCTTGTATTATTATGGCTTCTAGTAAAGGCTATAAAACCATGAGCCAAAAACTATACTTCCAAAGCTGGGCTCAAAGACAAGAGAGAATGCC